CTGGGTACTTTCTTGTGAGACACAGGCCCTAAAATGGGTCAAGCGATGAGCAGTGGGAAATGCTGACGGCCTCCTACGTTCCTCTGAATATAGTCGCAGCAGATGGCATTAAGTGAGAGAAATTCTCCAAGGCTGAGCCATGAGAGGGGCGAAGCAGAGCCTCCTTACCTCAGGGGCTCTGGGAAAAGTCCACAGCGACAGTGAGCAGCGAGAAAGACGAGGCAGGTTTATCAGCTATTTGACTAATCGCTGATATAATCATACCCGGGCTGGTGAGCCGGTTCGGAGGGTAGAGGCTCTGAGTGCAGGGCATGACGGCCTGACTCTGATCCCTAGATCCTACATGGTGGGAGGAGAGAACCCTGCAAGCTATCGTCTGAGCTCCACATGCGTGAGGTGGCATGTGCGCGCGCACACACACACGTACCCACCCACAGACACCCCCCTAAATAAATATATATAATTGAAAAAATGGTGATATTACGTGATAATCTACATTATCAACTGGATTTCAGTAAACTTTTCTTAAGGCCAAATAGCCATTGAGCGTACGAAAGGGGTGAAGGGCATGACCATGAACACAAGTGTTTTGCAGACGGGCGTAAGTGTTGATTCACACTGTGCTGGCCACATCGTGTGACCTCAGTTTTGAGGGCACTGTGGGGGAGCTCCAGGGATTCCTACTATTAGGCTGTAATTGTCTTTCTCCAGGACATCCCACACACCAGAATAAACTGGAGGGGAATTATCCTCTTTCCACAGAAGTATGATGCAGAGCCAGGGACGGTGGGGTCTCCTCACATCTGAGGGGGGCCTGCGCACCTCTGGGGGGCCCTCTAGGCCTCAGCAGTTCTGGGTAACAATGTAGCGGGTAGGCACGCTGGGTATATATGACCGATGAGTCCACCAAGCCACTGCTCGGGGGGGGGGGGATTCAGAGCCTAAGAGATTGCTTCCCGTGCTAACCTTTCAGGCCACTCCACATCTCTTCCTGCCACCTGGCATTCTTTGGACAGGTTCTGTCATGGCACGAAGGTGTTTTGGCGTTTGCCTGTGGCTTTAAGTTGTACTCTTGTGTAATACGGAAAGGTGATGTTAAGCAGGTCACTACGCTGGCCAGTGTAGGATCGTCTTAAAACTTTTCAAGTCTGCAGACTCACCCCTCAAATCCATCTGCTCAGTCTTCTCAGCTTCTGTTCCCAGTTCTGCTTGGGATCCCTAAAGTGGCCCAAAGGGCTAAAGCCTTTAAGCTGGTGTTCCAGTTAAAGGCCAACTGGAGTCGGACTTAGGGCCACCCCTGTCCCCGACCAACGGGATGGCTGGCTCTACTCCAGCGATCCCTGATGTCCCTCCCTTCGGCTGTACCTGCACACTTACCGACCTCCCATTTGCGTACTCACACAGGACTGCAACTTAAAGCCTCAGACAAATGTCAAAACATCTTTAAGGCGTGTGCAGACCCAGCTCTTGAGGAAGGGCAGGGGAGTACTCTGAGCAGGGGCCTCAAGAAAGACTCACGTAGGCTGGATTTTAACTGCGCCTTTAAAGGGACAGCAAGTCAAGAGGACTGAGTGACCTCTGAATGTCAAGGAAGACACTAAAGTGTAAAATAAATTTATGTCTCCTCTTTTCAAATAACAGAGGTTGATTCTGAAAGTCCCAAATCCTGGAAAGTCTGCAGCAGGCTTTAGGCTACAGGAATGTGAATCCACATCCACCTCTTAATAGCTAAAATGTCCATAATGACACAACTGAACCCACACATGCTAGCCTTCAAGTGGACTCGAAAGACGTGCCGCACCCATGCAGCGAGATGCCTGGCCAATTCTTCCTTGGACTTATTCTTTAGAAATTATAATTCTCTCTTACTATAACATCACCCAGCCCCAACCCTAGTGAGGTCTACTGTATATTTTGTAAACGTGACCTGGTGCTCCACTAACCCGACGGCCTCTGTGCCCACTGCCTTCACAGTCTCGTTCCTTGGCAAGGCTGCCTCCTGCCCCTGTAGCTCTTGAGTGACTGTGAGCCCCACCTGACAGTTACGTTGGGAGACGTGACTTTTGTACACTCATAATTGTACAGACATGAGAGCAAGAACTCTGTGGCGAGACTGCCTGCCTTAAACCCTACAAGGCCATCCATTAGCCATGCCACTTGAGTTAGCGCAGGTAAACTCTGTTCCACTTTACCATCTATAAAATGAGAAAGATGAACATCGTCCCACTCTCATAAAACCACAGTGAGGATCAAATGGGCATCAATTTCTCTCTCTCTCTCTCTCTCTCACACACACACACACACACACACACACACACACACACACACACACACACTTCATACAGTACATAATAAGGTCAAACATATGGCATACTTTGGAAAATATGAGAGAACCTTTAGACTCATACCTGCTGTGGAGTAAGGGGCTTACATTATTATTAGGTATAGTTTAATATACTGATATTAAAAGATATTAACTGAACCAGGAAATACTTAATAAATTTGCTTGCTATATTTTTGTTTACATATCTGTTCCTAGAGCTAAGCAGCCATTTCTTTAAGAAGAAATTTTGAATGTACTTATGTAGTTATTTATTTTTTCCTGAATGTATTTATATTCCGTCTTTCTCAAACTGCCAGTCAGAGGTTGTGCAGCTTTTATGGGTGACTCAGCTGTGCTGCTGCCTGGCGGGGTGTTCCTGGGGTGGGGCTTGTGTAAAGCGCCCTGGGAAGGGTGCCCTGGAGTTCTGGTGTGCGCCCTTTCTCCTTCCAATCTCCTGCATCTAATTAGGAATGCCTATGAAGTTCTCAGTGCTGCAAATGAAACAGCCAAACCACTGCACTTGTGACAAACACAGATGGCTCTTGAGCCAGCGTGGGGCGCGTGGCACTCGGTGAACTCTGCCCTTCTCAGCGGACTCCCCACTTTCTCCTTCCTGACCTCAAGCTCCCAAGTCTGGGCACCGAGTGCTCTTTGGCAGACTCTTGACTCTTCAAAGTTCACTGAGCTAAATGAAGAAGAGCCCACATCTGAAAGCTTCAACTGCAGCGCTCTGCTCTTCTGTGCTTTCCCCGTGTGTAAGGAACGGGCACCCCATTTCTCTTTACCATCAACGTGACGCCCTGGGGCAACAACCATCTACCAAATCATGACACAGAAGGAACCTAGGATTGGGGCAGCCACTCAGGTCTCCCCGAGTTTCCCTCCTGTGGATTAAATCAAAGCTAAACGTGTCAGTTCCTTTCCCACACCCTGAAAGGGCTGTACCCAAGCTTCTGGCTGGCCCGCACACCTTGCGCAGCCACGTCAGCCTCAATATGCTTTTCCCACTTCAATTCTTCCTGCAAACAGCCCTGGAGAAGCAGGAGGCCAGAAAGCCAGCGAGGGACTGTGACACAGGCAGGGATTTACCCGGAGAGCGGCTCTTTATCCTGCCCCCTCCTTCCTTAGTCTGAGGGGCAGAGATGCTCAGTGTGACGTAAAGCGGAGGTGGACTCTCACTCTGGCAGGGGCTCCTATAGGACAGCAGGATCTTGTTTCCCTGGGAATGGACTTTGTATCATAAACTGGATCAAACTCACATAAACCTGGTTTCCAGAGGCTGGACTCAGACTTACAAAGCAGACAGTAGCTGCCCTATGCCAAGTGGGGGCCTTCGAACCTCTTTACAGGGGTGCAGGGTCTCTGTCCTTCCTCCCGTCCCTGCTTAAAACCACAGAGCCAAGCAGCTGAACAACAAGCAGAAACCCAGTCTTCCCAGTTCAGGGACTTATTTGCTGCTCTTTGATACTGGCTTGGGAGCCAGGGGCGGAGGCAGGCCGGCACTTGCGCGGTGAGCATTGTCTTTAACTGTCTCTGCTGAGCACTGGCCTTGCTCCCTGCCTCGCCCAAGTCTGCTCTGTGAGACATGGTAAGGTGAGGTTTGTTCAGCCCTCTTGTGGGTCCCCTCTCCTTCAGCGCGAGCCCGGGGCTGAAGCTGCCCTTCCAGCCTGCACAGCCTCCCGCGGTGTCTAACTCACCGCTTCACCTACTTGCCCGGTCCCCTCCCGGAGCTGCAGCCGACTCTTTATTTATTTATTTTTAAGTCCGTTTCGCCCTTTCTCAGCACAGTTGAGTTTATTTAAAACAAAACAAAGCACAAAATAAAACAAAAAAACAAAATTATTCTACGAAGGGAGGGCCTCCTCATGGAGGTGTTTTTCTGGGTGAGATGAAAGACTATGTCACCATCTCACACTCGTCCCTCGTGTGGCCAGCAGGCGTGCGTGTGTGTGTGTGTGTGTGTGTGTGTGTGTGTGTGTGTGTGTGTAGCTGAGCAGGGACACAGTCAGCTTGGAACCACAGGGTTCTGGCTCTCCCCATTGAGGCTCATCCCCGTGGTCCCAGCGGCACATGCATTAAGCCAACACAGTGGACTCCTATTCAGTTTGGGCCAGCCTCGGTGAGCCAGCAGCACGGTGAGCCCAGCCACACTGGCACACTGGTGCCCCAGGCTGGCTCTTACGCCAAGTCTCACCAGATCTTCCTGTGGAAACCGGAGCAACACCTGTGACCGAGGTCAGTGTTGGTAACAGACCTCACATTTGACATTAGGGTATGGGAGGAGGATTTTCATTCTCCCACCACACAGTGAGCCGAATCAAAGGGGGGCTGGCTGGGAGCACCCTCAGGGGCGGTTCTCCATTTCTTAGGGGCGACTCGCACACCACGGGGTAAGCAGTGCTGTACTAGGAGGGACTGAAGCCCGTCAGGTTAATCACACAATATTAGGTACGAAAACAAACAGTGCAACACAAAACATAGCTACATCATTATTTGCAGTAAATGTTAACTCTAAATAAGTGCAACCTGCCCACAAATGCTCGCTATAAACTAATTAAAAAAATAAAATTTGATGGATAAACATGAAAAAAAAATTCTCACCGAGAATTTTTTTTTTAAATATCAGCACTCATTTAGAGTTCGGGATTCGTGAAAGAAAGCTTTAAAAGGAGCAAACCTGATTGGCTGTGGCTGTTGCTGCGAAGGGGACACTTGTTGCAGGAGTTGTTGCTGCAGAGACAGTGGCGGACGTAGCGCTGTGCATCATGGGTACTTTCAGGAGGGGAACCATGGGAGCAATGAACAGGAGGGTGTAGCATTATGGTAATAGAAGTGGTTTTGGCATGGTGAATATCAGAGCAGCAAGCCATCATGGGTTAAACCAGCAGATGGCATGCAATCACAATGCAAAGCAAGGAAGCATGGGAGAGAAATAAAAAGGGAAAATAGCTTATTACAAGTACAATTAAAGGAAGTTTCCAAACATAATCAGTGATTCCCAGAAAGGCCAAAGCACATTGCTTTGATTGATGTATTTATAAACATTTTGCTTTCAACAACAGAGCCATTCCCAATTCAGAGTGTATCGTGACTGTAACTATGGCTGCTTCTCAAAATAGGATAGGTAATATCTGCTGAATGATAAACAAAGGAGACTAATCATAAATTCTAAAACATAAAGGCTCAGTAGGCCTAATTTAGGGTAAGATGAATTTTGGAATTAAATGTAGTTTAACTGAAAAAAATATATTTTTTAAAATTTGGAATCATATCTGCAAATTAGAATTTCAGTGGACTGTGTTTTATTTTGGTCACTAAATAGTGAGGTAAAAGAAATGGCCTTGGTGTAAATTCTAGAGCAGTTACTATGAAGTAACTGGATCTATTTGCCAACATTTACATTCTGAATTCCTAAGTGAGACAGATCGGATGTCCTGAAGACAGACTTCTGAACCAAGGCTTTGAATGTGACACAAGATGCCACTGCTAAAATTTCCCATCTCAGGGAATGTGGAGGTACAAAAACAAAACAATCAAACAAAACCCCAAAATGAAGCAAAAAACCCCAAACCATCACAAATAGGTCAGCACTCTAAAAAGATAATCAAGCAAGGATGTTCAGACACTTGATTTTTAAATACATCCACGTGTAATGTTTTCCAAAAATAAATACTTCTGGGAAACTCTGATGGCTCTAACACACAGCAAAGAGGAGATAAAGGCACACCACTATGAAACTTTAAAACATTGGTGGAATTGGCCTGCCCTGTTTGCCTCATGCTAGACCAGATAAGCCTGAGAGAGAAACAACACAAACCAGTGAAAAGCGCGCTTGCACTTGTGGGTTCATGTCTCTGCAGTGACTGGTCTAGCCTATGAGGTCACGCTAAGAACCAGCATCTTCTTAAACACACAAGCACAGCTTACACATTAACTCTAAAGCCATTAAGCCTCCAGATCTACTTCCTAAAGCATTTTCTACCGTCTCTGAAATTAACATCAAACAGTGAAGGCATTGTACATCATATAAAAGACAAATAAAAAAGGTTGAAACCTACCAATACTGGTAGCGGGTGTCATGCACAAAACTGACCCTGACGTCATGCAATGGGGGTGGAAAAAGTGAATAAAGGGAAAGAAACAGGTTAGCGGTTTAGAGTTAACATTCAAAGTGAGACTGAAGCACAACCAGAAATCAGTAGGGTTAGTTTACAGTTCTCAGGGCCGTTCACACCAGCAGAATAGACACAGGTATATTCAACTTCCTGTAAGCCAATAAGATTCCCAGCCCCACTCTGTGATTGCTCTCCCCTTTCTACTCTAGGTCCACATGACTCCAACAGGGACGGCATGTGATGGCACTACAGTGTCCTTTGAGGAACTCAAAGTACATCAAAGACGCCACCAGGTTAACCCCATCAGGTGGAGACCAGGTGTTTTACAGATGAAAAATCTGAGGCACAGCAACTCCTCCAAGGCCGTGTGCAGTGAGTCAAGGGCAAGGCCAGAAGTAGAGTTCCATCCTAAATTCAGGTCAGATTTGGTGCTTGCTAGAATGCACTACACTCAGGGTGTTAAAAGTCTGTGTGGCGATGAAACGTATTGTGTCGACAGCAGTGTGAAAGTAAGAACAGTGAATTAAGATCTCGTGTCCTCCAAAAAGGGGAGTCTTGGATGCTTGTAACATAGGAAAGCTTCTGAGCAGGACTGGCTACACACGACTGGAACCTGTCCTGGCTGTGAGACTCGCCGTGACAAAGGGGCAGCATGGAACAGGGAAGTCTAAGTGATCCTGCAGACCTGGGACCAGCTAGGACCCCAGCGGGAGATTCCATCATGGCCGCTCCAGGAAGCTTCCGAGGGATCAAGGAGTTAGGAAGTCTCCTACTGGTGTCCAGTGGGTGCGAGAGGAGAGGACAAGATTCAGTGCCTCCCTGGCAGGAGCTACACTCCCTGTGGTACTCTTAGTAACATATGCGTGTCACTGTTTTCCGACCGCGACCGTGATAGAGTCAGGGCGGAAAAGATGTGTTGGGGGGCCTGAGGGTGTAGCTGCTGCTGGTTCCGTTCCTCAGAGTGCAAAGTAAGCAACAGAGGATCCTGGGAACCCTGGGTCACGTGGGTGTCAGACTGGTGTTTTTAATGAGGGTTAGTGCAACTGTTGAAGGTTTCAGAACTACGCACTGAGATGCTGTGCGTGACTCTGGAAACTAAGTGTCCTCATTCACTCTGATAAGGACTTCTTGCTTGACCTAAGTTTTGACCAGGCTGACGTTACTGAGTTAGGAAAAGGCTAGTAGGCTACTACTGGCTCCTTTAGCAGAGATGTGCTAACATATCCAGCTTTGCACACGCACAGAGACACATATGTATGTGCCCATATGCCTCAAAATCTGCTGCAACTAACGCGACCTTGTCCTCCAGCCCTGTCTTTCGACTTTTCATCAATGTGTGCAAAGTTCCCTACACCTCCATTTTCCACTCCCTTGCTCCCATCTGTCCTTTAACCCTCTCCAGTTTGGTTTTATTTTCACTCTATTTTGCCCAGATTGGCAGGACACAATTCCAGGGCCATTTTGCACTTGCCTACACCTTGCATACTAAGCCAGTTTCTTCCTTAGAATTCACACACACACACACACACACACACACACGCACGCACGCACGCACGCACGCACACACACACACAAACAAGCACGCACGCACGCACACACACACGCGCACACGCACGCACACACACAACCACACATATACACACTTTTCTAAAAGCCTGTGATGAATTCTCTCTATATATGCTGGAGTTTTTACATCCTGCCCTGGGTCCTCTTTATTTGTTTTATTTTTCCTGCTCTGTGGATCTTCCATGTGCATGTCAACCTGGACATTTCAAAGCTACCGGTCTTCCACCTTCCACATTTTGTGCCCTGCCTGATCACAGGTCTTTTTATCTAACTGCTCTCCTGGGCTCCCCACGTGGGTGTCACGAGGGTCTCCAAAGAAACATGCGAAGCTGTGCTCTTTCCCACACCGTGTCCTCCACATCTGGGAACACCTGGCAGATCTCATTGCCCACGCAGCACTTCAGCCTTGATGGTTAAGCGATCCATTCCCTACTGGGCCTACTGCACGCAGGCCCAGCCAGAGCAGCTGAGTACCTGCCTGGTTACCGCTGCTCCTGCTGCTCTGTTGGTTCCTGTCCCGTCATTTCTAATGTCCATTTCTAAGGCACAGCAGCATCCTGTGTGGCCTTCCTGTTTCCTTCCTACTGCAGGCCCCACTCTGCTGGCAGTCACCCCACTTCTGGGAAGGATTTGCTGGCTTCCGCTGCTTTGAGGATGGAGGCACTTGTCCATCCTGGCTCCTCCCCACTGCAGTCTCTTCGCTGGTACCAGGGTCCATCCGGATGGGCCTTCACTGCTTTCAACTGAACACACTATGCTTTTAATCTATTTCTGGGCTTCCCACAGCCGTCTCCAGCCTCCTCATCTAGGAGACTCATCAGCCACTTCTTTCATCTCACAGGGTAAAGGACATGCCACTTCTTCAGAAAATAATTTCGTTCTTAATTTCCCCACCTCCTCCTGCCGCCTAAGTCAGGTCCTATTTAAATTTCTATTTAATTATTTGAGCTCTTTGCTTTTTCATTTATTGTACTCTAAATTTTTAATAACCTATTTACATGAGTGTTTAGCATCTTTCTCATTCTGCTATGAATGCAGAAAGGCAGTGATCCTGTTGGCTAGATGTGTAGGGCACCGCAGGATAGTCCTGTGTGGCGCCAAAGTTCCAGCCCGCAGTAACAAGTACTTTGGGGAAAATTTGTTCCTGAAAGTTGTTAATATCCCATATTAGGGTTAACCATATCAGGCTTCAAAGTCACTTCTGGAGAATCTCCTTTATTGCTATTCTGTAGTGGATGGGCCTTCTCCAGGGGCTTCCTGGGTTACACTTGTGAATATACGAAGGGTGTGAACCATCAAAACCAGCTCCGGCAGCCACACAGGGCTTGAACACTCTGGCTTTTGTCCTGGATTGGGAAGCCCCTGACCACACTTCACTGGGCTCCCTTCTCTACCGGCCAAGAGTCATTTGAACATGTGACATATGGAGCCGGATTCCGGTTCGGCTCTGCAAGCTGCATCCCCACTTTTCACCTCAGCCCACCCTCTGTTCCTCCCACAGATCCTGTGAGCACTTGACGCTGTTACTGCAGGGAATGATGCTCTGTTCTCCAAACCCACTGTGTCATCTCTGCCCAGTACGCATGCTCATCTCCTCTTTCGAGGTCACTGGCGAATCCTGCTCTGCACCGTTGCACCACTATCTGCTGAAGATGAACACCTTGCCTCTGCCTCTCAACCTCAGAGCCCTGGCTCGTCCATCGTACCGTGGGCTCTAGCTTTTACCCAGCTCTGGTCCCCTTTGCATTCTCATTCCGGGTCGCAACGCAGACCATATCTTAAGGATGCTCGCTGAACGGAAGAGTGTCCATGCGTTTTGAATTTAGGCGGACCGTTTCCACTGAATGTGAACAAACCTTTTACAAGTGTGAAAACTCTATGAAATGTTTATGGCTTCTCATTCCTGGAAAATGGTCTGGCCTAAAACCTTCTACGTGCAGTTCCAACGTAATGAAGCATTTCAAGGAAAATCAAGGAAGGACTCTGTCCTGCCTTTGTTCTGAGCAGCTGGGGCGTCTCACCAGGAATCTGACGCTATGGATAAAGCCTTCTCAAACATTTGCACTGACGTTTCATCTCCAGTTTCTGTGAGCCAGAGCTGTCTGGGTAATTCTCTTAGCTTTACATGTCACTTTGAAGTGTAAACACAGCCTCAGTCTTTCCATCTGCAAACTGTAAATAACTGTTTGCCAGAGCTGTGACGCCCCGAAGAGCAACGACCCTGTCTATAGGAACACTTCCAGTAACTCAGAATAAACTGGGCACAGACATGCCGAAAGCCATTTCTTACACTGCTGTTTCTGAGACCGTGCACAACTTCACCCCTTTCCTACCACAGCAAGGGCAATGTACAATTCCCTGGTTAAAATAACCCCTATTCCAAAAGAGAGAGAGATAGAGAGAGAAACAAAACAGGAAAAATCCCACCCACTATGAATGTGCTAGGACCTCATCTAAGGTGATAATTATCTCACTACGGTTGTGTTGTGGAGGAGACTCCAATATCCTGTGTGACATTTTACGTTAACGTCTTTACAGCCTGAAGGCAGATTTCCTAATATCCAAATTCACATTGTGTCAATGGGAGAATTTTAGTACGTATCAAAGCTTTGCTATGAATGGCCTTCCAGTGCAGGGTAATGCTCCAAGAGGACACAAAAATGCCTTGATCCATATGTATAAAAAACTGCTTATATAAAGCATTAACAGAAAGATTTAAATTTTTTTTTTCATTAAAAATAATGGCTTAACCATCTGCTAAAAATCACTGAAGAACGCCAGGATGTGATCAGCAGAGGCTTAAAAACAACCAGGGCAAACCTCGAAGGGTCATTGTCACTTCTGAAATAAAGTTGAAAGCATGGTTTATAAGAAAGAGATCCTGAAACAAACAAACAAAGCCCACCCCAATCGTGGAGATTTGTTCTACAGCTTTAATTGGGAGAGAACTCGTACTAATTTTATTTTAATAAATTGTTTTCTCTTCCATCCTTTCAGAGAAATGTGAGGAATTTCTTGGAAATTCAAATACCACTCCAGTACACAAAATTCCCACGGTTATCCACTGTGATCTCTATAGCATATAGCAAATATGCTATAAACACGTGCGCGTCCCATAACTGGCTGGGCCTCAGTCCTGCCTTTGGTTTCCACGGGCTACGGAAGGTTGCCCACACAGCTGAGCTGTTCCTAGGGGATCCGGCAGAGGGCAGACACACACAGCCACAGCTAAGAGGGACTATTCATCCTCACTGTTTCATTCACAGCCTCAGCTCACTGCTTAAGCTCTGCTACTCAGCTTTGCTTGGGAACACCTAAAAGCTCCTCTTGTGACCTCTGAGTGGGGACACTTTAGATGAACTGGCCCACCAGTCCTCACTGGACTGCAGGGTGTAAAAGGTCTCACTGGTGTGCCCTCACTGGTGTGCCCAGGAGACGGTGGTGTGGAATTTCTCATTCTTCAGAAACACGCTTGTCAAAATATACAATGGCCACGCGGTCCTAACAACAAGCCCCTCAGGGTGAGCCGGCCGCTAAGCACGGTATTTCAGGTGGGCTACAACCGCAAATACGGCCAGGCTAGAAGAGCATGGAATGCCACTAAGGCTGCACTACAGTAAAAAAAATGAAAATGAATCTATATTAGATATAGATTCAGAACTCAGCTACTTTCTGGCATGCTGCATTTTTACTGAAATAAATATAGTTTATAGGCTACTGATTCATTTAAAATACTAACTCACATAGGTTACTATTTATTTATAGGTTTTATACAAAGAGTATTATGGGGATAAAATCTAGCCACCTCCCGTCCTAGCTGCTCACGTGCCATGCACTCTAAGCTTAACATATCCAACCACACAGACTAGTAGCTATGCTGACTTGTCATGCGATGAAGAACTTGGACTTGGAAAGGCTCAGTGGATGTCCTTCCCAACAGGGTGCAGGCCGCCTGTCCTAACAGAGATTAACAGGTCAACACTGGTCAAGTGAGGGTGAGCGTGTGTGGGGTGGTGTGGGTGTGCACGTGGCTCTGTGTATAATCACTGAACTGGGCAAGACATGGCCAGGAGGGGATTAGGGTGGGTGAGCATTACACGGCTTTTCTTCACCTGAATCCATTTTTCATGCCACTTTGAAAGAATAAAAGCACTTTCATCTGGTTTTGGGGGGTCTGTGGTCTCTGTGTGGGGACCAGCGGGGAGGTGTGATGCTATGCCAACTGGCCAGGCGTCGGGACGCCAGCCTGGCATCTGTGTCAGCTGTGCCACCTTGGAAAGTCACTTCTCCTTTTTGCGGGGCCTCAGTTTTCTCATTTGTAAAAGAGTCAAGGGTACAAGGACCTCAGGGAGACCCTTCGCCTGTGAGAGCCTGTGTAACAGGCCGTCTCGGTGGGCTGTAGGCTAGGGGAGATAACCCTCTTCTCATCACTCATTGGCTCAGAAATGGAGAACAAGCACTCCAAACACGTGTGAACTTGGTGAAAGTTGAGAAGGATGAAGAGAGAGAGAATGAATATAAAATATGAGTAGAGGGCTGCTTTAATTTGAAGAGCCTTAGACTGTTTAGTGCTCTGAATAGAAGCAGGGAGACATGGTTAGTATTTACTGGAATTTGTATTTTTAGGTCATTGAGTGTTAAGGACAAATTTCAATGGTCTCATATAGAAAAATCTTACTTACATAAACTATTTTACAGGGCTTTCGTGAACAGAAGAGACCCACAGCTTTAGCTGCTCTGTTTCTGAAGCTAAATCCCACCAAACACTTGGCTTTAGAATGCTAACTGCCTTTAGCCATTAAAGCAAGGTCAGCGGCCTATGCCCAAGGCTGTGGTGGGCCAGGCTGTATTTGCACCTTCTAAATGCAAACTAGATGCCACCAAACAGCTTAGAGAATGAGAAGACAGCACGTGGCCGGAAGGACACAGGACAGTGGTGGACAGTGAGGGCACGTACCTGTGGGAATGAAGGCCGCGTGCTGCTGCAGCTGCGCACTGGTCAGGGCCTGCTGGTAGTGCAAGACGCTGGGGTTGAAGACCGTGCTGGCACCGTTGCTTTTTTCAAGTGCTTGTCTCTTTGGTAAAGGGTGAAGGGCACCAGGAGGAAAGGCCTAGAGGGGAAGAATTTCACAGGCTGTGTCCAACTTAAAGCAAACGTGCATTCCATGTCCACAGAGATCATCAATTGCAACATTCTTTTCTTTCTTTCTTTCTTTCTTTCTTTCTTTCAAAATGACAGCTAAGGAGATGCCTCTGCCATGCACCTTAATTTAAACAGCGGCAATGTCGAATGAGTGAGAATTTGTTATTGAGAGCGGAAGCATGAATTCTGTAACCCAAAACAGTAGCATCTCAACTAAGGAAAAGAAAAACTACCAAGCAACAACAACGGAAAAAAAAAAATGGCTTCAGCTTTTAAAACAGGTTAAACTACTCTAAGGGGAAGAAAAGAGCATTTGCGTTATTATTAATATCTATTTTTTAACTGATGACAAATTCTTGAATTTAAAGGTTAATAAGAATTACAATGAGCATTTTTCTGAGCCACATAATTTAAATTTGCTTCACTCTTTTGGAAAAGGTATTAAAATTTTGTTAGATTTATTTTATTTCCCAGATTACATATGCAAATGAGATGACTAAACACCTTATTGAATTTCCTCCATTTTAAAATTAATAATAATGATTGGCTGCAACCAGTATTTTACATACAAATCTCAGCTGGTTCTCTGAAAAGCTACATGCAAAGCGAAAGGTGAAAGGTCAAAGTACCAGGTCTACAGTTGCTTCGAGAGGTCGCTTCAGTGCTTTGGCAGTCGACTGAGTCTTTTAATAACAGGCAGCGAGCACATGATGGCAGTGGGCCAATGGGATTCAAGCGAATTAACATACAGGTAAACAGCAAGCAGAGGTGCATCATGGGAACGGCATTGCATTGTGGATAGGTGAGAAGGAAAAAAATATTCTGAATGCAATATACAACATACAAAACACTAGGCATGCACAACAACAAAAATGTTCTCTAAAGAAATGAACATTACACCTTAAATTAGTATTGAAGCAAAAATGCATCTACTATACCTTAGTTAAAAGCATATAAGAGAGTAAAATATAGATGTTTGAAATTCAGGAAAGTTAATTAAAACAGCAGCTTGCATACACACCATAAGCACTTTTTATATTGCTTCAGGGGAAATGCAGAACTTTTAAGGCCGTAGGGCTGAGAACATCTGATAAGTTAGTCCAGATATAAAATAACAAGGAGATCAAGTATATCCCAAGTTGAAACTCTTCATGTAGATACATTTTAATTCAGATTAGCCTAACAAAATGAAGTGGCAAACTGAGACAAAAAAAAATTCAGGCAAAAAATATTCAAACACAAGATTATTTAGGCAAAACTGTTTGGGTTTGGGTCATTATTTTTTGGCTGAATCACATGGGTAATTGTCTCAGTTCTTTTCTTCACTCTGCTAGTGTGGATCTTATCATGTGGATTAATGTCCCAAACCTGGTACAATTTAAATTTAAATAGGAATTTTCCAAAATTTTCACTTTTACTCTTCTGTATTTCCAAGTACCAACTTATCATCTGTTCTGTCTCTACTACATTTGAAATTACGATTTATTTCAAACAACTTACCGGATTATACTAAGAAAATACCCTTTAAAAAGGCATTTCACGTCCTTGGGTGTTAAGGTAGTTTCTCTTTGGTAGTAGATACTATTTGTACTTTTAGCTATGATCAGTGATCAAACTGGTTAACGACAAGTATGACTTTTGCTAGAACAAGCAGCTGAAGTAGCAGAGAGCTGCTTTCGGACAAGGAAAACACTACCTTTAACTTACAACCATACTTTTGGGAAGATAGTTTCATTAAAAAAAAACCAAGGTAGTATTGGATATGGATGGACACAATGAAAAAAATTTCTTCTTTCTGGTAAATTGTTAAAAGGTGGAAAAATTCTATGATAGAATTCTGTGAAAATAAAGAGATCCAGGGAGCAGTTTCAACGCAAATAGGAACAATGAAATATCCCCCTTTTATGGTTAGCACAATAGGTAAATCCCCAAGGTTTGTCTGATAGAATTCACACTCTGAAGTTCTGCGGGAGAGCTGCTTTGCCCTTAGGATGGGAACAATTAATGATATTTTGTTTGGCAAATGCAGGGTTGGTTGCTCATCATTCAATGATTCAGGATAAAAAAATGTGAGAGAAGATAGTTTAGGAGCTATAGCACTTGGAGAATAAAAAATAAAGTGGAAAGAACTGTGGACAGAGAATGGCCAGCAGGGAACAGAATGTTCTGCAAGGCAGTTTGGCTAAAGGTCACCAAATAATAGAAAATTGATTTTTTTTTCTCAAAATAAAACTGAATATTGACAATAAAACAGCCCAAGCTCCTAGATATTCCTTTTTGTTCTGTTTTTGGGAGGGACAGTCTCACTTTGTAGTCCAGACTGGCCTTGAACTCACAACAATTCTCCTGCCTCAGCCTCCAGAATGCTAGGATTGCAAGCATGGGCCAAAACACCTAGCTAACAACTCCTGGATATTATGAAGTGTAAATTCAACGCCACGAAACTCGCATGATTCCATTTTGGTTAAAGTCCTTCATCCCCGGACAGTTTCACGGTGTTAACCAATGCAGGGTCTTTTCTTTCACGTGTTTATGTGTGCACCTGTACGCTTATGCAAGGCGGCACACGTGAGGTCAGAGGATGTCCTGTGGAAGACGGCTGCCCTCCACTACCTGGGTCCTAGGATAGCACTCAGACTTGGCCTCACTGGGCCTTCTTGTTGTGGTTTTTGAGCCCCGACTAATGTTGAGTCACTAGCCAGGGCTACGAGGCTGCTATGCCAGATCACACTGGAAATGCTCACCAGCAGGCAGAGTCCAAAATCATTCTGCTGTAACCTTCAGCCTCAGCATCCCCACTTTCCCAGGCCTTGGGGTTTAGGAGACGGATTTCCTGGTGGGTAGGCACGCAGGAACACAACGTTGGCTTAACCCTTTAGTGGGCTCTCCAAGCAGAATGATGTGAAATATTTTTTACAGCGGTCATATGGAAGTTTAGTGGTCATTTTTTAGGTTGTCAAGACTTAAGTTTTAGCATAACTTAGGAGTTACTATCAGGTGAGGAGAGTGACATTTCTCCTTTTCCCACTGCAGAGTATATTTCTTTTCTTAGATTCAGTTATCTTCTAAGCTACACTGAGGCTTTGAAGTATGAAGGTTTTCACACATATCGGGCTTTATGTATACTGTAATGTACAGCACACACTTAGAGTACTTTTTAAAGTCTATGTGGATGACTAGTCATGTCCCCACAGGCTTTGTGGCACACAGGTACTGCTCCAGCTGACACTGACTGCTGGCATGTTTATCTGCACTGATCGACTGACCGACTGACCTTCAGGCTTAGGCCTGACCTAAGGGATAGAGGAGGCCAGGACACATGAGGAGCCTGTTCGGCACCAGGTACTTAAGTCTCCTGCCACACACATGGGCTGTTCTTGCCCTTGCCGGTATGACTGTCCTCAACAGCCCAGGCCTGAATGATGGACATGCAACAAGACACATGTGAAGCTGAGATTTCTCTTTCAGAGTCCATGAACCATTGCACTGCAGGTCGAGGTGAGAAAGAACAATCATCTAGGCCAGCATCATAGTTGAGGGCAAAACCCAGGGCTCAAGAGACCCCGGCAGAAACAACCAGAAGTGCGGCTTCACCGCTTCCATAGAGCAGGCAGGCTACAAGTGAGCGGCTCTGAGTTCCTGTGGTGTTTTCTGGAGTAACTAAGCCTGTCCTGCTTCCTTTCACAAACCAGTCCCTTCCACAGCCACCCCATTTTGGTTTATGTGAACAAAGATCAAACACCCTTTGTGTTAAAACTACCAAAGGGCACCCCCAACTAGCTTATTCTCCCATTTGGAAATTTCTGGTGAGAGTGATGCTTACATTTCATGAGGTATTATGAAGGAATAAGGCTCAGGTAGAGATAAAGGCCTCTTCTTTTCAAGAGTCAGAGCTTTAAATTCTTTCTTAATGTCTGATTATTTAAAACCAGAGGAAAAGTCCCTGGGTAGCAATAAGAAATTACACCATGCAAGTGTGCCATTTTCCAGCCAAGGAAGCCAGGTGAATGGAATGCTAATGGTCTTCTGCAGCCAGACCACCCATCTGTTCTTCTAAATAAGGAAATAGAATAATAGTCTTTCTGCGGTGTTCCGGATAATCCTGCCTGTAAGGATTGTCAAACTGTACCTAGGCTGGTCTCAGATGAGGCTCTCACATCAACTAGAAAGACATGACAGATTCAGTAATCTTCCTGTCACTGTCAGAAAGACGCTGGCATTGTTCTGAAGCCACAGCTTGGGGATGCCTCAGAAGACATTCTGAGATCCTGTGACTTCTCAGCACTCCAAATTTGGGCACAGTGTGACAACCTAAGAAACTATGGTAACCGACTCTCACAGCGTCTACTGCACTAACCTCTGTGCATTCTGAGGCACGTACATGAGAAGGGAAAGAGCCCGTGGCACAGCTCAGCTGCGGCTTCACACTGGGAGGCTGGGGGATGACCTATTTGGGTCTATGGGAATTTCTGCCCATATCTCCACTAGCACGGGTCACCTGCCGCTGACACTGACTAGGGACACTGTCCCTTGAGGACTGAATCTGGTACTAACTGTGTGTATGAGAACTTTTACTTCTAGGATATGGGCAGAGAGAACCAGAGCTTGACAAAATCAGGCCAGGGCATGGCAGTACTATGACTATCTCAGTTCTTAATCTTCACAGGAATTTGATTTAGAGGAACGAACACCCCGGATTCCTCCCCAGAGATTATCATGTCCCATGCTGAAAGATGGCCAGGATAATCAGCTCCTATCACTTGACCATAGAGATAGCCCCGGGGGTGACAAATGACAATGGGTTTTCTCCCCTTAGTTAAAGATTGTTTTCTCTCTCATCAGAGGTAAGAATGTGTCCCTACAGATGTCTCAAGCCTTTGGCAGGGTCAAGAGAAGAAGCTGGCTTCAGAGAGTAGAAATGATAGGCTAACGAGGACAGAGGGAGAAAGGAGAGGCCAGCCTGCCAGCTGCCTTCTGCATTCCCCAGCCCTGTCTTTCTTCTCTCTTCCACAGAGGTGCCACCTGATATAGAAAAGTCCAACCGGGTCACCTAAGCCACTTCAGCTGCGCATTGTCTCAGCTGCAGGTGGAGCCCTGACTAGCCAGGGAGAGACCTGAGTCCCTGTGTGGCTCATAAAATGAGTGATGTGATGAATCAACACCAAGAGCAGTCAGTTGGGGCTGGTCTGGAAAGGGGATTATGGAGAAAAATGTCAGGAGAAAGAGTAAGAGTTAAGTTAAGGCATTCATGACGTAGATGGAAACAGGGTCCTCTGCACGGACAGACATGTAAAGGACACATTTCCTCTAAGAGTAATTCACTTTCATACACATTGAATTACTGTACATTTTGATCTTTCCATCCTTCCCCTAGTTCCCAAGAATGAGCCTCAGAGTTCTCGCTCTCACCAAAACCCATAATGGGAGTACTTTCCTCTCACGTAGATACATTTGACCCTACACGCACAGGAACGCAGTGACTCAGCATGCTGTCTGAAGACACACAAAGGAAAGGACACAGGACACTAGACAGTCTGAGAGAACAGAAGCAGCCAGGCAGAGGAAAGACGCACTTCGAAAGATGCTTGGAGCCCAGACTACCAAGGCCTATATAAGTAAAAGATTACAGCAGTCAAGCTCAGGCTCCCTTCTGCTGACACCCTACCTCTCGGGACAGTTCTGAACCTTCATGAGCACTCAGGTAAAGAATGCAGAGTGGTGAGGAGGCATTTGGGTTGCTCAGCAGGGTGAGACCGTATCTGCTAGGCCAGAATACACTTTTAAGACACCTTTTTAAACATCTGTTTTTATTTTGTGTGTATGTTTGTATGTACACCTTGCATGCAGACCAGGAGACCATGGAGACCAGGAGAGGGCATAGTTACAGATGACTGTGAACTGTGTGGGTGCTTGGGATGGACCCTGGGTCCTCTTCAGAGACATCTCTCCGGCTGGGCCTTTAGCTGGTCGCTTTCATCTCTGAAGTGCTGTGTATCCTGGGGAGGACTGGCCTCTGTGCCCTCCGCACGTCCATGAGCCCCCAAGCTCTCCACCCTGCGGAGAAGCAGCACCGCTCACGCTCACACAGGCTAGGCTCCTTGAGGGCAGAGCAACCATCCTCCTGTACGCTAGGCAGCAGGTGCCTGGCGGCTGGCGGGCTTCTAAATGTGTCCTATGAATGGATGCACCATGCCCACTGCGCGCTAAGCTTTCGATGAGCCAGAGGCCTCACTTTAGAGTAAATTCGGTAGAACTGTCTGCAGCCTAGCACCAGGGTTCTTAGCTGTGAGTGTGCACTGCAGCTCAGTCCCCTGGAGGCTTCAGAGGGCCTGGGCCTGGGCCCTGCCCAAAACACGTGCTCCAAGAAGCTGCTCCGGGGTTAGGCTTCAATGTCAGATCCTCTCCAAACTATTGAGTTGATGCCTAAACACAGCCAAACTCAGGAGCCAGTCTGGTCGTGTGGTGTTCCAGTGTCAGCTTACATTCAAAATACCTGGGAACATATGTAGCATGTGTGTGCGCCTGTGTGTCTGTGTTCACCAGGGTCGGGCACCCCTGGAGTTGGAGTGAGCCACTTGCTGTCAGTGCTGGGGGCCAAAGACCGTGCACTCTCTTCACCTAGCTGTCATGGATCCCAGGCCCTAACTCGGATTTTTTTTTTTTTTTCCTTAATTAAACTTCTGATCCTGACACTCTGAGCCTGGAGTGTTCACAGGCTCCCGGGTGGTCAAAGCGATACTGCTTCCGGTGGCCGCTGGAGACTGAGATTCAGGAGCTATAGCAGCATCGGTCCCTGAAGCACAGTGAGGAGACTCAAAGGGCTAGCCTGGGTTACAGGTCTGTTAGTCTCTTCGTTTCAGCACCGGCTAGGCCAGTGCTATTTTTTCTTCCTCTCCTGAGTTGCTGCTGGGCTTGAAACCTCCCTGGGCTGTTGGCAAGCCCCGCAGCCAATGGGAAACAGGAGGAGAAGCCTGGGTGTGACAGGGTCACTGACTCATGGGCATCTCTGAGGGCTGTGGTCCCCCACCCCGCGCTGGGCTGACGTCCACAGCGGGCAGCATCCTCTGCTCGCCTGAGTTTCTGGCCTGCCCTCTGGTCCCTGCCAGGCCCTGGGCCAGCTAACCAAGGGGCCAGAGCTCCCAGCTGGGGTCCTGCTTCCTGGGGCTCCCAGCCCAGGTCCCTGCACCTTGGGGATTTGGCTATTGTGAGGAAGGGAAGGAAGGGGAAACAGAACAAAAACGCGAAGGGGTAGGGATGAGAACAGAACTGAGGCAGCGGAGCAGCGGGAATGGCAGCCTTGGGTCCCAGCTGTCCGAGGCACATATCCACCCCACCCGCAAGCACCACCCGAGGCCTGGGAGGCGCACTGCGGGGTGGCGGGCACACTTACCATGACTGTGGCCGCGGCCGCGGCTGCCTGGGCGGCCACCGCGGCCTGGTTGGCTTGGTGCTGCGCAGCTTTGATTTTGGCCTGCAAGTGTGCAGGAGGGTGAAAATATTTGCATTTCTCCCTCATGCAACGCCCCTTTATGTAATCCATACAAACGGTTACGCTGTTGTCGTTTGTGTCGATCATGGTGCTGTCTGCCGGGTGTGCAAAGCGGCAGTCCGTCTCTCCCCGGGCACAGTTTCCGCGCTGGAACTCCCTGCATACCTGAGACACAGGAGAGAGCAGAGAGCTGCAGAGGGAAGCCTGGTGGCCAGAGCGGAGGGGGAGGCGGTGAGAGGACCAGGAGCAGGGGAGGAGGGGGAGGGAGGATGAAGAGCAGGGGAGGAGGTGGGAGGATAGGAGCAGGAAGGAGAGGAGGAGGAAGGAGAGGAGGAGGCAGGAGAGGAGGAGAAAGGAGAGGAGGAGGAAAGAGAGGAGGAAGAAGGAGAGGAGGAGGAAGAAGAGGAGGAGGAAGGAGAGGGGGAGGAGGGAGAGGAGGAAGGAGAGGAGGAGGAGGGAGAGGAGGAGGAAGGAGAGGAGGAAGAGGAGGGAGGACATTTCCACTTCCCCTCACAGGCTTTTAGGTTCCCAGGGAGTAAAACTGTTCCGATCTAGGACCCAAATTACCGGGACTGCTAACAAATTAACTTGTGTTTTGCTTTGCCCCTTTTTCTAGGGTGAATACTGAAATGGAGGAATTAATCTGAACTCTGTTCTTCACCTAAAACAATGAAGAAAAAGTAGTTGAACAAAGCCACTGCTGTCCCTACAAAAGACACCATACTTATTTTCATCACCTACATATGCCTTTGCATGATTCTTCTATTTGTGTGCCACCTCTCCATGTACGTATGTGCCACCTGTCTGTCTGTCTGTCTACCTATCATCTACCTACCATCTATCTGCAGTCATTCCTCCCTCCTCCTCACAATGCTTACGTGGACAGGTATGTAATTCACACACACTGTCTTTTCTCTTTTCATTTATCTTTATCTTTTCTTTTCTTTTCACCTTCCCCTCCCTTCCCTCCTCTCCCCTCTTTTCCCTTTTCTTCCCTTCAGGTTCTCTTCAATCACTCTATAGTGAGTGTGTGCTGGTTATGTAACACTCTCTCTCTCTCTCTCTCACACACACACACACACACACACACACACACACACACACACACACACACA